ATGAATGCCTTTGTATAAACATAACATTTAGTATGAATGGTAACTAAATATAAGTGTAGGTTAATTTACAAAAAATGTTTTACACACCTACTGACCCAGTACTTTAATTGTACAGATATAAATATACAAATTTTAAAAGGGAAGCAAGTCTATCTGCCCTTTTCTTAATACTTCTATATATTTTTGCTTGTATTCCTTCTCTATAACTGGCTTTACGCTCCTCTGTCTATGTCACTATAGATCAATTAACTTTATCTTCAGTTAATTATGGACTCACTCATGATATGTCATTGTAGTGGGATGTCAGTTTACATCATACAGTCTTTATTTCCCTCAGGCCAACTTGACCCACAGGGAATAACATAACTCAGCAAATAGCAGTGGCATCACCAATGAAGGGTTAACTCACAGTCTAGGATCTTTTCCCAGATCCTGAGAGGGCAACTCTGGCTCTGTGCTGCTTCCTCAGCACCACAGTCTTCTCTCTTTCTCTCTGAAGTGAGTTCCCTGGCTCAATGCTACAGCCTCTGGCTCCACAATACACAGTTATCTCAATCCTTCTGGTCTTTTCCCAGACCCTGGCTTGGTGGTGCAGCTGCCAGCCATGCAGTCTTCCCTCTCTCTTCCTCTGTTCTCTTGTGTCCTTTTCCTGGGAGCCTTTTAACTTCATTCAGGTCAGTCAACTATCCTTAACAGCTGACCCAATCTTCCAGGCAAGCCAGGCAATCATTTTCCTACTGGCTGCAGACCTGAAGCATGTAGCCTGCTACAGTCCTGCAGTTAAGAATGTACGTTCTAATAGTTTTAATATAACATTATAATTGCCTACTTTCTCTATTGGACCACTGGTCATCTAGAATACAGCTACTGGTAATTAATCTTTAGAGTCACTTATTCCAAATTCCTTAGCCAAAAGACTTCTATGAAGGAACTCTAGAATGGTGTCACTTGAGTCAAAACCAGATAAACTCTTATATATATATTGGCGGTCTGTAGGATATAGCATTTGTGGCAGATTTCTGAGAACTCATGCTTTTGCTAAGAATGTCACATGCCTCAATTCTCTGACCAACTGGAATGAAATTTTCTAAAATATCCTAGTGACCAATTACATTAAATTATTTTCCTAGAGCAGCCTTAGATGATGCATTGCATCTTACATTACAGCAATGTTTTCTATTTAGAAAAAAAGAATGTCTTCCAAGAGATGATACTTATGAAAACTGTGTGTTGTGTTTTTACAGATTGTATTTGAAGCAATTAGGGGAGTCTCCATAAGAAGTGACATTGCTATAGATGACATTGTCTTCCAAGCAGGACCCTGTATAGGTAAAAAAATGGACTTGCTTATACAATTGGGAAATATCTAAGTTGTACAGATAGTAGGTTTAGTGATAATTGATACTTCTCCCTCTGAGTCATCACTGAATTAATCTTAGAGTAATACGGTGTTAAGAGATGCTGGGCTGCTGGTTGAGACATTTTTTGGATTAGATGTAAAAACAAAGTCTTGACAGTAAGTCAAATTTCCCTGGCACTCTTTGGAAACACACAGCTCTAGGCCTAGTTTTTTATTTAAAACCCAGCACTAATTAAATTATATAAAATGATGACCAAATATGAAAATACTTAAAATATTCTTCCCTCTTGTCTGCTTTAGAAATGGAAGACATGATTCTGCATTCATCAGGGTATTCTGAAGACCTCAATGAAATTGAATACTGAATACATTTTTCTGATACAGTTGAAGAACTATGTAAGTTTTATATGTGAGGAACTGCACAACTCCATGGGTTTTTTTAAAAGAATGATAAATACTGTACTGTTTTGAATATGTCACTGACATGTACAGCAGACTCGGAGCACTTCTGCTCTTTGCATTTGCAACAGAATTATTGACTCAGGGCTTTTCAAATATTTCTATTGTATTATGTTGTGTTTTGCATGTGACATCAATTATTACATAAGGGCTTTCCATTTTGCACAGATCATTCAAAAATACTTTAGAGCTTTTTTGTAAATCTTTTTGGCATATACGTAAAGAGAATTAAAATCTGATGTGCTATCTTAAATCTGCATTCAGTGAATGTTTTGGGTTGGGTAGAAAGTGGGTTCTGCTGTTTTTTATTTTGAGGCTTATACATATTTTGAAATAATGAAGTAAATAGTATTAGATGTTAGTAATACACTGCAGATTGAATGCAATTATTCATTATAACAAATCTCTCAGAAGATATAATCTCATACTGGTAATACTTTAAATGTTCCATATGAATGCTTTTTTGTTATTTCTTGCCAGAGCAATTACAGTAATGAATCTATTTGTCATCCATGTGTATAACAAATAGACTTCCATTAATGTTCCAGTGCAATTCAGTGTAAGTTAATGCTTTATTAAAATGCAGTGCTGTTGGCTTGCATGTCTTAGAGACAGCACATTTTTTAAAAAATGTAAACATAGTTATTTAAATAAATTGGTTTATACATTCACATAGAATATACTTTTTATATGCTGTACCCAACCACAACTGATTTTCATTTATGTTAATAAGAAATTGAGTTCACACAACATGTTAACTCATAGGACGTGATATGTGTGTTTTTGTATTCAAGATTGCTGTTATAAAATTACCCAGCTATCTAATAAAAGTAATTTTAAATAATTTATTTTATTGCTCCACTTTTCTCTAATAATTGCTATAATAATACAGTCAAGCCTTGAATTTTCAGATAATTAAAGGGCTTGATCCTTCAGTACATTTGGCATACCAGCAGCACAAAACATCCCTGCAGCCTGTTTATTCTGCTGTTAGTCATCATTCATTTCATCATTGGCTATCTCTCAATATGAGGATAATGTCTGCCAGGGGGTGATTTCTGGTGAGTTTTAAGGTGGCTGAGGAGTCTGATCCATGCTCTGCAAGTTTTTCCTCAGATATGACAAGTGGTGCCTTGGATGGGAGGGGAGGGGCACAAGTGTTGGCCAGGACATTTGTGCACATTCCTTCCTCCTCTGCCATTTCTCGCCTTCCTGAGTTCTCTTTAAAGTAGGCTGTAGCTTAATGAACGGTGCAGTGCCACTGAGACCTGTTACCAGCCATCACTTCCCAGTTTGTATGGTTGATGCCGCCCTTCTTAAGGTATGCTTTCAGGGTGTCTTTGTAGTGCTTCCTCTGTCCTCTGTGAGTCCTCTTACCATGACTAAGTTGAGAGAATAAAATTTGCTTTGGGAGATGAGTGTCAGCCATGTGCACACAGTGGCCAGCCCAGTGGAGTTGATGTTTCATGATCTTTGCCTCAATGCTGGTTATGCTAGCTGCAGAGAGGATGCTGGCATTGGTGCAGTGGACTTCCCATCTAATGCAAAGGAGCTTCCTAAGGCAACAATGATGGAACCATTCCAGGCACTTAAGATGGCTTTGATATGTCACCTACATCTCACACTCATTGAGCAGTGTAGGGGGATAACCACTGCATTGTAAACCAGGATCTTAGTTTCCATCTGCAGATCTTGGTCATCAAAGACACAGTGAAGCAGCTTTTTGAAGGATATGCTGGCACAGCGAATCCTATGTTCTATTTCTAAATCAAGACTGACTGACTGGGAGCGGAGACTGTCAAGGAAAATGCTTGATGTTTTCCAGGGGTTCTCCACCAATGATAATTTGTAGTGAGTGGGAGGGGTAGCTTGTGCTGGGGTAGACTGATGGAGCACTTTGGTCTTCCCAATGTTACAGGAGAGTTCCAGGCTGTGATAGGCACCTGAGAAAAGGTCAGGGGTGGACTGCAGATCAGTTTCAGTGTGCACAAGGATAACACAGTTTTCAGTGTACTGAAGGTCAGTGATGTCAGCCTTGGTAAGTTTCGTTTTACTGTGAAGGTGCCGGCGGGTTGAAAAGCTGATTCTCCATTTGATACTCAACCCCAATTCTGGGAGGAAAGTGGTCATGGATAAGAATCAAGATCACAGGAAGGTAGATGGAAAAAAGGGTTGGGGAGATAATGCAGACCTGCTTGACACCAGTATAGATGGTAAATGGGTCCATCACTGATCCATAGCAAAGGACTGTGGCAGTCATCCCATCATGGAGTAGCCTGAGGACACTGATGAACTTCAGTGGACAACAAAACCTAGCCAGCAGCTTCCAGTTCATGGAGTTGAAGGCCTTGGTTAGTAGGGCTGTGTGAAATGATGCTGTTCCATTTTGCCTTGAGTTTCGACGGTTCGACGGAACAGTGTTTTGTCTTGAATTTCATTTTAAGTCGAAACAGCTGTTCCATTCTGCTCCGTCAAAACAGAAAGGCTGTTTTGACCTGTTTCAAGTTTTGCTGGGGAAACTTGCCAGGGGCATGCCCAGCGTGCCAGGGACAGGAGGCAGCCCAGCTGGGCTGCTTTCCCACCCCCCATGCTACATCGTGCTGGGGGCAGCCCAGCTGGGCTACTTCCCTGTCCCCCGTTTTACATTGTGCCGGGGGCAGCCCACCTGGGCTGCTTCCTGGTCCCCCGCACTACATCGCGTGATGTAGCATAGGGGTTGGGAAAGCAGCCCAGCTGGGCTGCCTCATTGCCCCCTGCTGGATCTTGTGCTGGGGTGGGAAGTTAGCCCAGCTGGACTGACTTCCTATCCCCAGCCTACGGTCGAAATGTTTCGACTTTCAAAACGTTTTGACCAGCCTCATTTTTGTTTCGAGGCTATTTTGAGGGCCTTTGTTTTGTTCTGATTTTGCTGTTTTGATCTTGAAATTGGTCGAAACAGTGTTGGAATGAAACGGCCGGTGAAATTTCGCACAGCCCTATTGATTAGGTCAATGAATGCCATAGCCTCCTCTGAACTACAGATTTGGAGTGTTCTGTATGTAGCCAACATAATAATTCCTGTGCCAACTGCCATTCGCTGTCAGCACAGGGTATGTGACCTGAGAAAAGGGAGTAGCTTAGGAAATACTTTTGTGTACACCAAAAGATGCCAGCTGCTTTTAATGGCCACTTGGGTCCATCAGCATATTAGATCAAATTTCAGGTTACTCTAATTTATACCTGGAGTACAGTCCAGTGCAGAGAGCTCCTCCCTACCTTCTCATGTTGCATGGATCATTACTTGGATGTATGTCTCTAGAATGCCGGTTCTTTTCTTAAATACTGGAAGTACAAATGATTTATATGTATGGGCATTTCTATACAGGAAACCGTCGCTATTTGCAGGTTTGGCTTTCGCAGTTTCAAATATTCGTGAATGCCGAACCCGCATTTTAAATACACTTAAAGGAGCTCCTCAGGACCACTGTGCTCCCGCCGTCGCCAGCGCAGCCATGCCCTCTGCCCCAGCCGCTGGGGGCACTGGATTCATGAATGCCATACCTTATTCACAGATTTTGCCATTCGTAAGGGATACGAGAATGTATCCCCCGTGAATGGCGATGGTCTCCTGTGTGTATATATATATATATATATATATATATATATATATATATATATATATATATATATATATATATATATATATATATATATATATATATATATATATACACACACACGTGTGTGTGTGTGTGTGTGTGTACATATGTATGTGTGTATATGTATGTATATAATTTGTATATCCATATATATAATTTATATATAATATATATCCTTTGTGTGTCCATATATATTATAGTTACACATATACAAATTATATACATACGCACACACATACATATGTGTGTATACATACACACATATACATATATGTGTGAATGTACATATATGTGTGTGTGTGTATATATGTATGTATGTATGCATGTGTGTATATAATACACACACACACACACACACACACACAACAACATTTTGGTTTGTTAATGAGCTGATGCTGACTGAATCATGGGCATTTTCTGGGAATTAAAGGCCAAGGAACCGATGCCTTCAGGGCTAGCTGAGGTGAGGACTATTAATTCAAGTAGGTTGCCAATCCCCAAGAAATGCCCAACACTAACATCATTGTTTCTATTACACACTGAAAATGAAAACAAATGGAAATTATGACATGTGGTAAGGGCTGATGCAGTTTTTCACTTGTTCAGAAACAGAAAGCAACACGTGTCAGCCAAACGACTGACTCATCTCTCAACCTCCCTCACGATTTACAGCACACAATTCAAATTAGGCAGCAGGAAAACACATTCAAAATGAGGTGGTTAAAAGCATCAGTCTCTGTTGCTATGGATAATTTGGAGTGAACTTTGTATGTTCCTATTTTATGCAATAAACAGAATACAAAATTTCTGCAAAAATCACATAAAAAGATATACAAGAAACAGATTTTGTTCTCTATTATGATGCAAGTCTGATTATCATCTTTCAGTTCCATTGAGTTACTCAGAAATATGCTGATGTAACTGAGATCAGAAGCATCAGCAGCCTCAGATATCCAGCCTAAATTCTACCCCATGTTATGCTTTGGGAAACCTCATTGATGTTAGGATCCCGTGAGAACAACAAAGAGCAGAGTTTATCTCTAGAGAGTGAGGAGCTGTTTTGATTCCTGGAAGAAACCTCACTTCTTTCACCTCCAATTATCTGCTTCTCTATATCTGAATTAGAATGGGGAGAAAGCGGAAAGGTAACATTCAATTGCTCCTGTGCCTCCTGTATTCTGAATGTCTCTAGAGCCCACCATGTAAGTTAGAGCAGTCTTTTAGGGCTGTGCGAAGCTTCAGTTCGCGATTCAATTCAGAGAACAGTACAGTAAAGAAACACAACACAGAAGTCACACATTCAGATTCATAGCACATTACAGAAGAAGACACCATATATATAGTTATTAATAATTAATCATAATCATCATAGTAGAGCCCACTACACACAACACAGAGTAAACAAAACACAACACAGAAGTCAGACACACGCACATTTCCTAGTACAGGAAAGATTAATATGAAGTGTGCTGGAAAGGCAGGTGCCAGGTCTTCTGGCAGGGGAGGGAGAGGGGCTAGAGGGGGTAGGGGGAGAGCTAGAGCTACAAGTTCCACTCCCCCTCACCCCCCAACATAGATGAAACCTCTTGCATAGCAGCTATGAGGCTTCTGCTGACAGTGGAAGCAAGGAGGTGGGAGCAGTACCTGATGTCCCTGCACCTGCACCTCCTCCCCTAACTCCAGAAATAGGCACCAGCAGCAGAATGATGGTCTCCTCCACCTCAATTTCATCTCCCAGCGTGAGCCTTCCACTGCCAGAGGAGGAGCTGGAACTGGAACCAAGGGACCTAAGTGCCCTAGCTAAAGTAATTTTGGGGACTGAGGAGGAATCTGAGTTTGCTTCACGCCCCTCAAAGTTCCCCTAGAGCCAGGTCTCCTCCTCCAGAAAGCAGCACCTCGGAAGAGGTTGAGTGGCTCAGGCAAGTGGCTTAGCTGAGTCAGGTCCTCCTGCTGTTGTACCTCAACCTGCTGAGGAGAGGGATAAGGAAGGATCCCTACTCTCAACCCAGATGCAGAGGAGCAGTGTAGTGTGGGATCATTTTGAGGTGGCAGATGATCCCAGGTTTGCTATCTGCCAGCACTGCCAAAGGCAGATCAGCTGGGGCAAGGAGACAAAACACTTTACCACCACGGCGATGCTGCTGCATCTCAGTAGAAAGCACCCCCTTGCCCTT